TATATATATATTTCATAAAATTATGTCTAAAACGTTTATTCTACCTGCATAAATTTTTTCTAAAAAAAATTATTTTAGTACTTTTCTTGAAAGTTAACTAATAGAAAAATTAAAGAAAAACGATCATACGTATATTTTTCTAACTTTGATATATAGTGATATTTGGGGAATTGACTAATTTGCAACAATGGTAAGCGAGCAGAACATGGAACTTGCAAACAATTTTTTAAGATATTTATAATCAAAAGTGCAAGGAAGATGTACGATTTACTAACTTTATATAATATGGTTACTAACTCTGAGTGATTTATGAAGTTCTTCTGACTGATCAAGACAAGACTCAGAACTCACAATTTGGATAGGACCTTGTGAATGAGATAAGCATAAGTCCTATATGGTGTATGGGCTTCAAAGTCACCGGCATATCATGTAACAAAAATGAACGAAGACAATAGGAAATCCATAAGACAAGGGGAGAAATTAATATATATTCTGCCTTTTAAAACATACAACCATTAATTAATTAATTAAATGGAAATTAGACATTGCCTTAGATAAAACGATTAACAATATACTGATAAATTGCCTCATCCTTCTATTGAAAAGCAATGTTTTCTGACAGAAAAACAAACTCTCGAAGTTATCATCTAAATTAAGTCTATGAGGTTATATTATATACCTAACCAATCACCATAAAATCATAGTCCATGCACGATAATATCCAAAGGGAACGGATAGATTCTTTTATTAGATCACACACTTCTGCATACAGACATGGAAGCAATCATTCTACAATATAATATTCTATATAATATGTTCTGACATCATCATGCTGGGGAACCTCGACCAATCAATTAGGATTTATTAAAATCAGACAACTAGCTCTTTTGAGAGACCTTATATATTTTTTCCAGTTTATATGAAGGAAATTGTAGATCTAGGTTGATAACTTATATATATAGAAATAGTTATCAAATTTTAAACTATCAAAACCAAAATGCAACAAGAAGTGTCAAATCCACGAAACATAAGTCAAGTGTGATATAGATAACTAGTCAAATCCTAACAGAAACTTCTAATAGATCAAGTGGGAGCAAATTTAAAAGTATACACAATTATTTATGCCAGCTGGGCTTCTAAATTGTATCCATGCTTTTGCTCTTCATAATTAGCAGTGGGAAGAGACAAGGGCACAAGAATGAATATATATAAATATAAAATCATTTCGCCCACGTAATTTTTCCATCATATTTACCGCAAGTCAATCCCTAAAATCTACAGGATTCTTTTAAAAAGGAAGAGTTTTTATAATGAATATTTTTCTAAACACTTGCTGCAACATTCTATTATTTTTCTTCGCTAGATCACTTTTTAATTTCACACTCTTTTCTTTTTATCTCATTATTATAAAAATTTCTTGTATAACAATAATTGCTAAAAATGAAATATTCATACGGATAGAGGACAAAATATGGTTCATAATATTTGTCAGCTTTGACTTTGGTGCCAGTTATTCTTTTCTACACATTATATATGTAACTGAGTATATAGAATGTATATCAAAAGGCATATATGAAACCATGTGTATTTCAAAGAATATTATAAACAAATCGGTTTATGGGAGGAGAGAGCATGGTGCATTGATCAGATGAGGAGGTTAAGGAAAGTTCAGAAATCGTAGCCTATATATTAGTTTTCTTGTTTTAGTTTTCTTTGATCAACAACATACTCTAGTCTTGTATGTTATGCCATATGCTGTATTCATCAGATATTAAAATGCAGCGTTCCCCTATATACGTATAGTTTTCCTGCATGTGCATTAAATATGAGTACATTGATAAGCAATATTTCCCGTTTTAAATTGAACGTCACGTCTCTATGCAAAGTTAGATAATGGAATTACAGTATCATCACATGGGAAGAGGGAAAGA